AGAAAAAGGGTTTGGTTTCTTATTTTAATTAGATACAAACGTTGTCAGATGAGAACACTGATACAAAGAATTTGGGTTTGGGAACTCTTTACTGAGGCTTCTACTGAAGCCGCATCTTAGAGAATGGATTCAGTAATTTCACAGTTGGACATAACCATTGTGCCCATTCTTACTCACTTTCAGAGCACAACAGCAGCCCTCTGCATCAAGTCCACTAATGAAGCCACTACCAGCTGCATAATTCAGAGATTATTATTCTGCTGATGTGATCACTTCAGGAAGCTGGCTGCCACACACTGTTCTGGCTGTGATTACTAGAGGAAGATATTACAACAGCAGAGCTCCTCTGGGAAAAAAAAAGTCTTAGGACTTGTCCACACGGGACAATTCAGGACGGTTTATCTGAATTAGCTAGAGAATTGCTCTGGATTAGTTAGAATCATATAAAACATTTGGGTGTATACTTTTACTCAGAATTAAAATTGTCCCAATTCAATTAGATGAACTTATTCCAAATGTTTTACACAGCTAGTGAAAACAGACCAAGAGCAAACGACATGCAAGGGTATCTAAAATGGTCTACCAATAAACACAGCCACTTGCCCCTTATGCCTCATGAATATCACATCTCTCAGCAGAATATAGTATCAAGAGCTGACAACTGTAATGGGAGAAATTGAGCTCAAGGATATGATAGAGAACTGGATGTCACCATCATCTTCAGAAAAAAAGTAGTCAGAACATGGCCACTAGCTGGTTATACTGCTTACAGCTAGAGTGATCATCAAACATGCCTGAATCATGATATACTTTAAGGGAAGTGGGAGCTAAGCATCTTTGAAGCTAGCCTTAATGAGAGCTATCTTATCACAACTTGTCTGAAACAGTGTTCATCAGACACTGGGGACAAGTTTCCCACAGGATATGCTGCACTTCCTAGGATTCTCTACAGAGAGAAAAAAAAGCTCAAGCATTGAGCAGGGAACCAAGTACCTAATCCTCTGTTGAAAGTGGACTAGGGCTTCACGATGAGGTAAGCGTCAACAGTTTAGTATCAAAAGCAAACCTATGAAGAGTCTTACCTTGGCACGGCAACTCAGCGAGCACTGAGGAAACAACCAGGTTTATCACACAGTCATGCTAGGGCTTCCATTTCCCACCTTGACAGGAGTATTTCTGGGGTGTTCACAGTTTCCTCTTCCCAGAATATGAGGTCAAGCCTGGAAACTAAGGAGCTTTTTCAGCCATTCTCACACAGGAGAGTACAACAAAAAGACAACACTGTTTTAGTGGAAAGTCCCCAGTGGCCAACAGCAAAAGTAAAGTTGGCACAATCCTAGGCACACAGCAGAGGTTCGAGTGGGCAGAGAGACTGTGAAGCTTTCCTTTACCTTCCTTTGTAGAAGTGCCTGAAAGCCAAAAGGCCTAGAAAGTGGGGGAGAAGGCCATGAGCTGAAGCCATGATAGGCCCCCATTAATTTGGCTTTCCACTTGTCCAAGTGAGAACTGGGCAGCCACTGTCTCCAGCTGCGGTCATGCTTGCGGTACACTTCGAGGTGAGGGCATGGTATCTTGCCTGATCTGTCCAGTTTCTCAAAGGTACTGGAGGGGAGATGAAAAGTGCTGGTGTACAGCAGGGAAGTCTGGTGCGTTGGGGTCGAGTCAGCTGTCAGAGCCTGGTGAAAATGCTCTTGGTGTGCTTGGAGGGAGGTGTTGCAGGGCTGAGAGGTCTGGAGGTCTGCTTTCCCTTCCACCTGCAAATGCTCCTGAGTGTCCCCAAGACCAAGGTTACGCAGATGGCCAGGGATGTATTTGATCATATCAAGCTCAGGTTGTCTGTTCCTAAAATGTAGTACACTCTGCATTCTGCATGGCAAGCCTCAGAAATATTAAAATTAGACTTCAGAAGAGTGTAAAAAGCTCCCTGCTATCATAACGTGCAAATGGACTGTCACACTCACTGTGATCTTGGACAGCAACAAAACTAGACAGCAACAGCAAATAGCAAAGAAAATTGCAGCTGAAAAATACCACCATTATCCTCTTTGAATACATATTGTTAAAATGAACAATTTTTAAAGCTGAAGAGATATAAGCCTAGATGCTATTGCCATACGTCTTATGCAGTTCATGATTACGAACTAACAGCAGAATACATATAAGGGAATCTAAAATCGTATGGATATGAGCCCAGCTGGTGTCCCCATATGCCTTATGAATTCCACTTTTAGGAACACAGCAGTATATAGCATTAGAGATGCTTCTTAAACATTTCATTTATAAATAGAGTGGAGCTGTTTCACTGAAGTACACACAGAAAAGGTCCACAAGGATGATAAAACCAGCTGCATTCAAAATCGCTGAAATGGTTCGACCGCAGTGTTTTTACTACGAATCACTCTGCACCAGAATATTCCCTGAATGAGGAACGATGCTTGTTTGTCATCGGCCCCTCACTGGAATTTTTTTTTAAAGCAACCACCAAAAAGCCATATTAGTCAGAAAAATGCCAACTTACTTTTGTTTTGGCAAACTGTTCCCACTGAAAGCTTTTCAGGTCCAGAATGGAAGAGCGAAGGCCCAGGTTCCAAAGCACTGGAGAGGTACATGTGTGCAAGAACTAAATTCCTGCCTCTTCTGAAAATCAATCAGTCAAAGAAGGGTCTGGAGCTCGGCTGGTCCACGTCCCAAGGAGACTCCTTCACCAACAGGCTATGGACTCTTCGGCAATATAGCTCTTCCTCTCCTGCTTTTCAATTTCACCAGAACCACCCCTAATAGAAGGCAGTTAACTATGGGGATTCTTGGTTAATTGTGAAAATGTAGCATCAAAAGCAGTTGACTTAAAATCATAATTTCATTATATGTACACTATTAATCAAAATATGTCTAGAGCAGATATCTAAAATAAAATACACTACATACGAATGAAAAATTATTTTATTTAAAAATACATCATACAGCAGAGTGTCTCTCTTTGTTTTCTCACTGCTGGTTCACAGAGATAATATGATAAATTTAACCCAAATATTTGACTGGGAAATATCCTGAGAGAGAAAGAGACCAGTTACAAGCTGATGATATACAGTACACTGAAAAAGAGCCATCTCTTTTAACATAAAAGAATCTCTTGGTAATCTTATAAATCAGATATAAAAAATGCAGGTTTGCTACCATGCAAAAATGAGTGAAGATTTCATTTAAATCTGCACGCACAGAAATCATTAGTATCTTGGACCCTAAATAGCTAGACTAAGAGAAGGGTAAGTGTGCCTAACATGGTGATACAAACTTTGGAACTACTACTTTTGTAAACACAACTGATAGTCTAATAAAGGTGGATTTTCAATCACCTAAGATTGTTGCAGTTAAGGGCTCTATTCTAGAGGACTTTTCTCCCCACTGATGTATTTCTTTTTTCTTCACTTCTCAGCTTATCACAATGACTTCATGAGACATGCTCTATTGCACTCAAAGATGACTTTGCCTGGCCCTGTTTGCCAAGCATTATTTCAGTAGTTGTATTTTAATGAAAGCAGAGGTTAAAATAAAAAAGTAAAAAGCAGGCATTACCTGGATATTTCAGGAATGCATTCAAATCCATCATAGAAAATATATACCTGATTCTACAAACGTAAGTCTCAGACATCTTCTAACTATTATTAATGCACAGGAAATACACTGAACGATGGAAAATTTAAGGCCTAGAATGTTCAAAAGGCCTCACCGAACACTACTATTCTCAATGTGTCTATAGTGCTAGCGTTGTATCAGTTATTGCCAGAGGAAAAAATTCTGGCAGATGTTAAAATCATCTTCAGCATTTATAATATTCAGATCCATTTAGCACTCAATTTTTATAGGACAACTTCACTATGACTAGCCAGTGAGGCTGTCTTTTGAAGGGGAGGCTCAATTTGATTACTCACAGTGATAACAGAGATAACATTGCCCGATGTTGAAGAAAATCAATTTGTCAACACTGCACAGACTGACAGAGGATTTTTGTACAAGAATATGGCCCTAAAACACAAACAGAGATAGCAAGATCTGCAGAGATAATGTCTGCATGTCCTGGTCACTTAGGCTGAAGAAAATGAATGAAGTAATTTTGTTTTTTCCATGAGTGTTCCAACACGAAAATGCACTTTTCTCACAAAGCCAGTGACTCTCTTATCTTAACACCCATTCTCCCAGCATAATATCAGGGTGTACAACAAATATGAGAAAAGATAGGTTTCCTTGAATAATTTGTTTAAACAATTTACGAATAGCATGGCTTCCCATCAGATATGCTGAGCTAAGAATGGAGCCCTTAACCTTTCATGGGATATCATTAGTAATAAAGAATATATCAATGATCAAACTTTCTATATTATTGTCATTTCTTTTAACCTAGATACATATATATCATCCAAGACATTCAAGAACTACAAAACAACAATTCAAATACAATTATGTCAGGAAAATATCCAAATAAATAAACTTTTAATTATGATACAATACTTATTACAGTAAAAATTGGCATTTTTTTCCTCTTCAAAAGCAGAAGCACCAGTCTTACATATAACATACTGTTTGAATATCTTACATGGAATACAGCGTAATACAATGTGCAAACAGCATTTTCATATAGAACATAATATTTGTCTAGTTCTTATACACTGAAATTGCCTCAAATGGAAACAAATTCATGCTGAATTAAAAAATGCAGATTTTAAAAATCAAAGTCAAATCAAAATATGAAGTACTGTTGGAATAGGTACATGAACCATTAAAAACAATGAGAAGCCAAAATAGAGGGTATTATCAGATAAATGTAATTAGTGCTCAGTTTGTCCCATTCCATCAAAAAGTAAACAGTTAATATTTTTGCTAGAAAGTAAAGTGATGTTCTAATATTTAAGAATTCTTCAAATGTTGGTATCATTTTAATGATGTAAAAATCAAGTCAGAAATAGGACTTTTAAAATTTTCTTATTTTTGATACACTGCAATTATCATGTGTGGGCTGTGAAAAGAGATGAAGTCCAATGGAGTGAATATACATCAGCGTCAACATCATGTGACTTCTGCAAAGGCCGTGATGTGGTTCTACGAGTTAAAGGAAAAACAAACAGATAAAGACCCAGAAACCACACAGATAGTCGCCATTGTGAAAATTTCTGCCTCTTGCTCTCTAGAACAGCCTTATGCTTGGAGACTATTGCAGGATGATGTAAATAAAACTGGTTTTCGCTGCAGTGCTCTCACTCAGTCCCATAGCAATTCTCTGTTAATCGCTGAAAGACTGGATATGTAAGTATGCTGAACAAAGTAATTAGGTGTGATGGTTCTACAATATTTTAGTTTTAGATGTGGTTTTTAAAGTTAAGTAGCAATGTGAATAATTGAGTTAGCTGTACTTTTATTGCTGCCTTATTCATAATTTAAAGCAAAATTCCTAGAAATTAAAATGACAGTTTCTGAGAGATTATAATATCCTGTTTCAGTGTTAATACAATTTTAATGTTGCATTTTTTTAAAGATTAAGTGCTCCCCATGAGCTTGATGGCACAGAATCAAGTAGCAAAATGCTACCACAAAATTGCATTCAGCAGTTGAGAACTCATGTTCAAAATTTCTTTTTCAGAATCACTACAATGTCCTCTTCATTTGCAATGCTACCCTCCTCTTCAACAGGACAATTCTTATGAACGTGAAGATGAGTATCAGAATGTGCACATAGTATGTATGAATATACACAGTAAAACTGCAGCACCTGAAAGAGCTGTTACTTTTTCATACTCTGACCTGATCAAGTGCCTCTGCAAACACTTGGTAGGTGAAGACTCAACTGCTCAGTGATGTGCAGGATCCAAAGGAACTGTACGCTCCCTTTAGGCACACAGTACCCTTGACTGCCACCAGTCTTTATAAAACATGCAATGTGTAAAATTTAATACAGGGAATCTTTATGTTAAGCCACATGTTTGCTCCCTAGCACAAAAATGCACAGAGGGAAATAACACCAGGCAAAGCACTGCAGATTTCTCTTATCTCCCCTCCTGGAGCAGACCAAAGTCAAAAGAGAGAAGGTACAGGCTGAAGAGGAGGGGGAATGCAGCTAAGTTGTGGGGAACGGGATAGATCTCTTTTTGCTTAAAGGAAGTTGTAAGTCCTTCAGAAAATCCCTTATCACATTTCATAGAATAGTGCTGGAGAGAAAGTGTCTACCACACAAGTTTGTATTTCTTAGTTCTTTAAACTGTCTGGATATTTGTCTATCAGTCTGTGCGGGGAGAGGCAGGCAGGCATCTTTGATTTCCACATTACAGAAAGGAATTTAGAAGTATGTTGAGTAGGAGCACATGAGAGCTAGCTCTTTTTCCTCCCTCTCCAAACAAGGCTGGCAGCTTTGTTCCTTTTCTCACTATGCCATGACTGCGCTGTGTCCACAAGGAGGAACTCTTTTCTACCTCCCCTATTAACATGTATTTGAGCTATAGCAATGTTCTTGCTGTATTTTATGACTGCTTTCATAAGAGAACACCACCAAATAGTAAGCATCTATGGACATTCTTCTCCAAAACAGAATTAATATATTTTAAATAAATAACAATGACTAAACCATAGCCAGCAGATATTTTAAAAAGCATTAGGAAAAAAAGAATCAGTATGGAACTTTCTGCAAAACCATTTTCAGTAAACAATATTAGCAAATGCCATTGTTTCCAGATTTTAATTCTGCAGAAGAAAAGCAAAATTAGATTTCCTAATTAGAAAACAAAAACATATTTCAAAGCATTTTAGTTGGCTGACCATCTTCTGCTTTCAGTATAAGAAAGACAATACGTTGGGCAACCTCAATGACTCTGGAGTTGCTATGAGGCTATTATGACATTTTCTTCACAGTATTTATTTTTTCTAACTTAGACCTAAAAATTATCCTGTCAACTTAAACTAGTGTTAAATTAGTGTACTAACTAACTAAACACTTAACTAGTGTAAGATTATTCTCTTTGTTGATAAGATGGTTTAAAAATGAGGAATAATAAGAAAAAAAAAATCCTTGTTATTTATTCTAAGCAATTTATCAAGTCCCGCTACATCCTAGCCCTTTCTCTAAGCAACACACATTTATCTCTGATCCAGAGAACCAAATGCTCTTTCATGTGGCACTAATTCGAGACTAGAGAACTATTACTTAGGAAAGAAGAACATGGTTCACACTCCTGCCAGCTATGCTTCCAAAAGGAGCAGTTCACCATCCTTGGAAGGACATGCATAGCATGGGATATAACAACACAGAAAAAAATCCCCTCAGAGAGAACTGCTTAGCTACTGATCAAGGAGCTACTGATTTGGACCCTAGTGAATTTCCAATGGACTCAGCAGGCTGATGCATAACTACGTCAAAATTAATCACTTGCTGATGGCAAGAATGACTGAAACAGATTCATGCAACTGTCTGGGTATCCATGCTTTTTCATGTGTTATCATCTCAAGCAAAACAAATAAGCCAGGCTGAAAGTCTTCACAGAAGAAAAAAAAAAACCCAAAACAAATAGCATCCTTCTTGAATAACTCCATTTCAACTCTCCTACTTCTGTTGGTTTTTGGTGGGTTTTTTTAGTTCTTTTACATCTGCTAAAATTTACTGTGACAAAAGTTCAGCGTGAGATTCTAACCACCATCAGCAAACAGATTCAAACAGATGCAGCAGACAAGCAAAAAACCATGCACAAGACCTCTACAATACTCAAAAGAATTAGAACATGCTAAAGGATTGCTCAATGGCAGCAGTTTCGGAGGTAGGCATGCCAGCTTTCATATCATTCATTCTAAATTGACAGTATTAGCTCAGTGTCAGCACCACATGAACAAAGCATGCTGCATAACCATGCTCTCACACCACGAAAAGAAAAATGAAAGGCTAAGCCTTGAGTGCAGGTTTCTGGGGGGAAATGATCCATATCTGCATAAGTTCTGATAAGATTTTAATTAATTTCTGTTTATAAATGATTCTATAATGTTAAAGCATTGAAAAAAATCCATTACAACATTTTTGTGATTTCCAGTTTTCATTATATATTAAATTTTTTTTACCTGAATTTTTTTTTGTTCTGCTCTCATGAATACAGCTAGAAGTATTCAGAAATAGTCATCATCCTAAAAACAATTTTTCCATTTCTGAAAACAGGAATCTGAAAACTTGTTTGTAGTTCTTCACTCCGTGGAGTTTGTTAAAAGAAATAGAAAATACTACTGTAGACGTTCAGGCCAATTATAATTCATCATACAATAATAATAACGTTATCATACAATTCTCCTGGTCAGAAAAGCATATTTTATGTTTTTACTGGACAAATAACATTTTTAGAGAGAAGAATGAGTTCAAGTCAAATTCCCCATTTAAAACATTGCAGACCTGCACAGAACGCTGCTGCCACACTGCATCTGCCTTTGCTTCAATTCTACACACAGACTCATGTGCACTCTTGCACACACAGGTTTATTGCCTTATATGAAGATTTTCAAAACGGTCCATTCCTGATATCCAGGAGAAGAACCTAATGATGCGTGCTTTGAGGGAGTTCCGTTGCAAAGGATCTTCTTGATTGTTACTAATACCTGGATTCTGTAACACCTACAACACGTATATTTGAGAAGGTCACACTGAACATATCGTTCCATTTCCCGTGTTTAAGTAGGATTTTATTTGAACGTTAGATATGGTATCACAGTTTGCAGTCAAACAGAAATAACTCTTGTACCATCCTCTCAAAGTAGATTTAAGCAGAAGAGTCAGAGATGAACGCAAATTCAAATGCCTGACGTTTAAACAAAATGGCTTATGGTCTTTTATGAGCAATCTCTCCTAGGTATGTGTTTCTGTGTGTGAAACAAGGTTGCAATATATCTCCTTTAACATAGTGTATTTTCAAGAGAGAACCATTATGACAACAGAAATCTGAAAAATCTGTCTACAAGCTAACGTAAGCACATGGATTCTAGTCAAGTTGTTCTGGAGATACTGAAATACCATCTGCATGGATACCTACGTACACTTCTGGACATCAAGCAAAACTGTATTTGGATACTTCTCAGCTAAAATATTTTGGAGCAACAGAAATAGACACAAACCCCCTCCCCTGTTTGCCAATAGGGTATGATGTGCTAAAACATCTGTTTTTTGCTTTTAGACTGTGAGCTCAGTGACAGGTGATCAGTCTCCCTGGAGAGCCCCAAGGGACCAGACCGGACTCCCTCGGCCACGCTGTGTGTACACAAGTGCACGTATCAATGGCAGACTTCTTAGTATCAAAATGCTTAAGATCAAAGTAAAAGCAGTAACACTGAGATTTAAAATACCTTTTTCTGACACTGTGAAAAAGGTCTCATGTCTCATGAATAATCAAGATGAAATTTTAAACTCTTCTATGTACTGCCTAGAATATCCCTATTTCCCAGTAACTCTTGCACAAGAACAGGAGTCTCCAACCTTGACTGTGGTAGGAAGAGAGCCTCCTCTCTGTAGGAGGGTGCCAGCTAACTGAAACATGAATTGTCTTGTAAGAGATGAAGAAGGTCAGAGACAGGACAGAAAAAGGAGCAGATGGGTGAGTGATGAGGTTTCTTGGCTTTTATTCTTCTCATTAATTCTGAGGATGAGTGTTGTTAAGGTGAAAGCAGTAAGTCTGCATTGCTGAGCCAGCTCTGGCAAGGATTCTTCAAGGAGACACTCTGCAACTATGGCTTATTTGAATGCATGAGAAGTGGGTACCCATGCAGAAGAGCTTAATCATCTGCATGCACCACAATTAAACAGGAGTGTCATGTAAACAGTGATCTACCCTTGTCATTAACCACCAACAGCTCAATTCAGAATATTACAAGTACACATATTCCTACTTAAGTGCACTTCAAATGTAGCTCTTGACCTTCACCAGAACTCAGACAGTGGCAGCACGGACAGCATGCAAAGCATGCCAAAAGCATTCATTCTCCTACAGGAAAAAGCACTGGAATAGCAAGTAAAACAAAAGCAAGGTGCTTCCAGGTCTGTGTGACGCACCATAAGCTTATTCATTTATGGGTGAATTTATAATAAAATTGCAACGAGTGAGGTCCCATCTGGTAGGCATTTCTAATGAAGTTGTTTTTTAAAACAGCATCTTTGAATTGCTTACTCCTAGATACACATATAGTCATTATGCCAATAACAGAGTTGCATTGCCTCAGGGTAACACTGTCTTAGCCCATGATAAATTCAGTCAGTCAGGATTTATGCTACTCTTAGTAGCTAATTTCTGACAGTAAACTGACTTTAATATTGGCACAGGAGCTTGCAGACTGAGAATAAGGAAAAAGAGATTTAAAATAAGCCAGATGTAAATGTATGTGTATTCAGAATATGGAACTGGAACAGCTCTAACTGAAATGTAGTGTAAAGTGACTTGTACATGGCTACAGTAGGCAAAAGGCAAGAAGCACATAAATTATTTAGCACCTCTCTCTCCAGAGGACAACAAAAGATGTAAAATAAGAAGGGAGTTAAAAAGCAAAGACTAAGTTATTAATTCTTGCAGTGATGGTAGTTAATTGAGATGGCTCAATTTAGAGCTTAGTTCCAGATAAGTATTATTCTTAGTGCCTTTTATTTAACAGGCTCTGACTTCTATTTAAAACTTTAGACTAAACATTAAAAAAAAAGAAAAAAATGCACAAAAACTCAACATCTAAAGTACTGACATGTAAGTAACTTTTTCATCAATTATTTGCTCATTTAAATTTAACCTTTCTGAGTGTGAAAACAGAAGAAAGCATTTGCAACAAATAGCAAAGTCTCCAAGTTATCATCCTCCCATCTCATCCTCTTTGTCTGGAAAGGAGAAAGGCTTTGCAACAGAGACAAAGACGAACCCATACACTGAGATCTCACCAAGTCTAACACCCTGCTGGCAGTCCCCAATTGAATTATCTAGATGGAAGTTCCATGACAGCAAACAGCTACCTTCTACTACCATGGAAATACAGGTTCAGGAAGAAAGTTCTTTCGTATAATAGAGTCTTGGGGCAGTTCACTAATGGCAGACTTCATCCTCAAGCAGAGCAAACATTATTCCTGCCACCACCCTTCCACACTCTCCCATAGCTTTCCCCACAACATCTCAATCTTGCCTAGGCAAATTCTCAGAAAAAGAACGTTATTCATCATGAATGAGAGGGTGTCAAATCAGGTAGAAACACTAAGTTAACATGAGGTCTTTATCCCCAGAAAAAAAATTAAAAATTTCAACAGCGAGAGAATGTACATTTATTACCTAAGACAGCTTTTGAGCTGCTGAAATGGCTTCTACTGCAGGAGAGCCTAGCACATAAATAAGATTTGCTCTTATTAATGTGGTATGTCCTAGACCAACTGACATCTTGTTTTGTTTTGACATTTTACAGAAAGTTTACTGAATGGATTATTTTGAAGATACACATTCATCATCTAAATGCTTGTTCAAGCAAATGAGACTCTGACCTCTTTATGACAAGATATCAGCAGAAGTAGCTTAGACACATTTGGTTCAAAAAGGCATGTTAAATCATTCTGAAAAGAAATCTTCCTTCTCTTAATGGAAAGGGATAACAAACCTAGGGCTAGCAGCAATTCTTACTAAAGACAACTTCCACCACTTCCAAGTGACTAAGACAGACTGGGAAGTGGTTAAAAACATTACTTCTTATGTTTAATATGAAAAAATATCATCAGTAATTTGGATTTCAAAGAATGACATAGAAACATTTTGGTGCCCTGCCCAGTGTAGAATTGTTTACTGCCTTCAAACATGGGTATAACACATTAACAAATAATGACAGATAAAGTAATTAGAAAAGGTAGAATCGCTTTCAAACTTTGCATTAGTAGTTCAGACTTTCCCCTGGTAAAAACGCCTACAATGTTTTCTTTATTTGGTTATTCTATCTATTTCAGTGCTTTTTTGCTTATAAAATTGTTCAGACATAATCTTACCTAACACTTACATAGTACAACATCATCTTCAAAAAAAGTTTGTTGGGTTTTTTTTTGGTTTTTTTTTTTACAGGAAATTAGAATAAATTTTAAACACATGATACTTACTCATGCAAAAAGTCTTGGCACACCCAAGAGACTGTCACTAGCATGTCCTAGTCCAAAATACCATTTGCTTTGGCAAGACATGATGGCTTTTGTGCAATTACTGTATGGCCCTTGTTACTCTCTATTATTACCACGTTCATTAAGTTGTTTGCCCTGCTAGCACAGACATCAGATTCCCAGCATTTCCAAGTGGATGCCCTGTCCTGGGGCTAGCAGGTGCCTGATGATAAAAGCCCCACAGCTGATCCAGAAGGGACTGCATCCCATGCTCAACACTAGCCTGAGGACTTGCCCCAAAGAAATAGGATAAATACCACTCGTATCTGAATTGCATGACCTTTTGGGATCAGGGGTTACATTTTATCTTTCTAAGCACTTCACGTTCTGTGGACCCTCAGTCAAAGTGTTAATCAAACTTGCGTGAGCAACACAAGGAAAGAGGGCCTCAAATCTACTCAGCTTGAATCCATGGACTTAGCAGTGGCTACAGCAGTAAACTGGATGATATGTAGTGATTGTTCTTGGAGGTGACATGAAGAGTCTCCCAAGGAGTCTCTCTGAATTAATTCTTCCCTTCTTTCTCCTTCACTGCCATGTCTCCTTACTTTAAATCTGATTACCTTGACAGTCTTGTCAAGATAGTTTGGAATCATCCTTCCCAGAAAGCTACATTTTACTTAATTGTTTTAAAAAAGTCAGACGTTACCTTTTCTAAAGGGCTTTCTACTCGGGGTATGCTGATCATGGGCATCTGGGACAGATTATCCATATGAGAATGTTCATGTTCTGGCTGACGTCCTCTGAAGTTATTTACCACACAAACAACCTATAAGGGAATAGAAGATAAACAGACTAGCTAAGGAACAACTCATTTTTTTTGAGCTTTGATCCTGACAACCATAATTAGGAAGAACTGACACAAGCTTTAGTCATAGATTACAGTAGAAACACAGAAATGTAAAGTTCATGTTTTACAGAAAATCCTTAATTAATATTTCAAGAAAAAAGATCTTCAACCAATTTATTGTTACACACATCATCTGAGAACCAAAAAATCTCTCTTGTCTAAAAGCAAATCCATTACCAAAGCTGAATAGTAGAACAAGTATTAGCAACTTCATGAATAGATGTCCAGAGCACATGCAGCAGAACACAGCAATAACCTTAAACTCCTATGAAGGGCCAGTACCATCTAAGTTTTGAACAGCAAAGATTTTCTCAAATGCGGAGTGAGAAAGGGAGAATAAGAAGGCAAGGATCGTCCCCAAGTTTGAACTAGACTCTAAACCTGCTCAGGGCAGCATTGACTCTCACATGGGTTTTTAGGAATGTGATATACAACAGTTTGTTAGTGATTCTACCAATTAAGACACTCAGCAGAGCAGCAATGTTTGCCCACTGTATTTTCTTCAAAACACAACTAAATTAATGTGATATACAACAGTTTGTTAGTGATTCTTAGTGATGTTATGGTACTCAAAGGAGTTTATGCAGTATACACGACAAGATACAATAAAAAATGCTGTGACAGATTTCTTTTCCATTCTGTTCTTTTATGACTTTAGGGACACAAACATAATGGAAAAATGTCTTAAAAGTGAACAACCAAATATAACTCCTGGACACCTCGTGTGGAAGAGAATGTTTAGAAGTGTGAGCAGGTATTTTAAAGAAGACGTAAAGCTGCCCTCGCACTTCAGAGGAGCGAAAACACCTACCTCAGCCATCCCTCTGATAGTTCTCAGCTAAGCCAAGTCTTCAGATCCAAGATCTTGAGATCAAGACCTTGAGATCCAAGAATCAAGCTCAAAAGTGATTTCATGGGGAAGAAATTCAAAGGTGTATTTAGCACTACTACAAGCTGCCAGGCAAACCTGCAGGCAGCAAACAGCAGTGACTGTTCTGTGCCAGAGTCTCGCACTGAAGTTAACAGTGAAGGTGATGACAGAGATTAGCAGCAGCTGATACAGACACTAGTCATTGCGAACTGTGACTAACAATCTGGTTTTGGAACACAGTTCCAGAAAAGAAAAAGGCTAAACAACAATTTTTTTGATACAGAGTAACATAAAATTTCAGTGTAAACCTGAATTAGCATGAAAGAAATTCAATAGGGTTACTTTAAAGCCAGAAAGTAAATACTACTTATTCTCCGATGAGTGTAGGTATCACTATACTGAATGTAATATATGAAATCATGACCAGATATTATTCTGAAGGACATACACTTGTTTAAAGTTGTGCTTGATACAAAAATTACTGGTTGAAATGCTACAATTTGGTTTACAAGGAAGTCAAAAGAGATCATTTGATCAGTCCTTGCTTGGCTTCACATTTCTGAGTGTTTGTAAATATAACTAAGGAAACTGATAATTAATTAAAAACAAAAATTAGAAACACCTCTTTTGTCATTTAGTTGTCTGAAAAGTCAAGGCTACCAATATTTTTTTGAAAGAGATACAAAGTTATACACCAATTTTTTCAAAAAGAAGTGACAAAGATATACACTTACCAAAAATACTGCTATAGATATTCCAATTATAAATCCCGCTATTACATCTGACCAGTGATTTCGATACTCTGCTACTCTGTTGATTCCAGTAAGGAAAGCCAAGCACATTAAGCTCAAACACAGAACAGGTTTTGCAAGCCTTGTTCCTCTGGCTTTTACAGTATTGGTGATATACATCTGAAAATTAGAAAGGAAGAAAGTGTAAGACTGATGGATATCTCCCACTAACTGGTGAGCAAAATCTCTACATTTTATTTGAATAGAATAAGTGTATTTGGGTTTGGGGGGCTTTTTTGGGTAAAGAAACAAGAAACTAGAGTGCTTGATAAAGTCATCACACCCTTTTCCTAGGGATACAGAAAAAGAGTTAGACCATACAACAAAATTACATTTTATATGAACCTGAAAAGTCCCTAAAAGAACAAGCAAGTTAGACAATTCTGTTCTGCTACTCCCATCCTATGTATTTATTTATGCAGAGAGTTAAAGACACTGATTTTTCACTGCACAGTGTTGACAATAACAGAAAAATATCTTTACCCTGAAAGGGGCTACATCAAGGCTTGTTTTTATTAGCAAATGCTTTTCTTCCTCATACACAACTTCTCCATGTGATCATCTAGAGATTTCTCAAAAAGAAGTGAAAATTGAACTAAATGCCAACATCTACTTTTATAAATACCGTGTAATAGTTTCAACCAGTGCTGAACGAATACCCCTGTGCTTCACAGATGGTGACTGAAGATGTTTAGTACCAATCCTGCCCCAGCACATAAACCAATCTAAATGCAGAAATGCATCAAACTCCAAGAAATCAATCTACTCTGCTTGCAGTCTAGCCCTCCCTGTGCAATATACTGAATTAAAAGCACTGCCTGATTACAGAGCAGCTCTTCTGCCCTAAAGGTGCCTTAGTGACTAGTAGGTTTAAGCCAGCACTTTCCAAGCTCTGATGGGACAATGGAAAAAATGAATGCCAAGTCTTTGAATTTCCATGTTCTTGAATCTTGGCCTTAAGGCCGCTTGAAAGTTCTTCCCTGAAAAATTATACTTCAACTAGCAAGATTTTTGAGAAAAGAGTATTTACTTTCTGCAATTAAACCATTTCAATCCCTAAACCCTTCACATTTAGACAGAGTTGAAGTTTTTAAATTGAAGAATGCAAATATTTTCTATGGAGTTTCACCAGAGAGTCCAAGTTTGTAATGCCATCCCTTTGAACTGTAAAGGGAAACAGATGAACCTGTATTGAAGAACCAGAACTTTGTTGGCCAACAAATGGGCACTTTTTTTTTTTTTGTACTGTCTGAAACTTCAGCTGATTTTATTGGGTAATCAGCTATGAAGTGCTGCAATAATCCAGGTAAGAAGTTTAGGAAGCATGGTTACAAAAAAATAAGTGAAGGAAGTAGTGGTCAGAGTTTGTCTGAAAAGAACAACATCTGACAGTAATTTTGTTCAAAACGCTAGAGAAATATCCATGGCTTAGAGGATGAACCAAAGCTTAAGCTTAAAATCACAGCAGAGTACTGCAACACATACATGTTCAGTGTACCTTACATGATGAACAGCAAAGTAGTAGCAAGCTGTCAACTAATGCAGACAGAGTAAAGGTTTGGAGAAAAGAAAAGAAAAAAAAAAGTGTGTGGGGGGGGTGTATCTCCAAACCACATTCTCCTCCCTTCTTCCTAGACCATTTCAGAAACAGCGTTTCTCCCTTTGCTGACTACCCTTTTATCTTAAGTTTTTGCAGGCCCTCTTCAGTGAGTTACTCTTACCATGTGGAATGCTGATAAGACAACTGCAACTTTAATTTCCAGCTTTTTAGCCCCACTGATTTTCTTCAAGCTACAGACAGAGCACTGCATGCTGAGTTACTCAGCAACCCTTTATTTCAGCGAGTCTCAATGTACTCCTGGATGCTACCGCTACTATCCACATTCACACTACATGTCAGAACACCTAGTGCTAGGGAAAATATTCTAATATTTTGAACATGCAGCAAGATCACCAAATTTCACATACAGCTTGGGTAAAGTTGACACAAGGAAACTAGTAGGAAGTTAGCCTGCATTTAATTTTGTATTGTGGCATTTTAAATCAAAACGACTATTGAGAAGGAAAAAACAACTCAAAAAAGAGTGTGGCTTGTTTAAGGCAAGTCTCGGATGATATATTTCAGTTATCTAGAACACCTGGTCATCGCCCAAGAAGATTATCTCAATTTTCATGAAGTCAAAATACATTATAATACAAATACTTGATACTGCAGTACTTCAGTCAGAATTCAACATTTTTAATATAAACCTAAACTGAAAAGTGCTCAGTAGAAAATTTTCAGAATCTTTTTACAATCAAGCATGTCCTTCAAATCCCTACTCAGACAAAACACTGAGTGAGCCGAAACAACTGCCTCATGCTGAGCCTCACATCAGTAATGAAGATCTCCATTTGCTGAGTCCCTTCCTACATACGCAGTCGAGATTGTCATGCCCAGTCCATTATTCATAATAACCTGAGGGTTCTGCCAGCAGAGGTAACATTTCTATCTTTTCTTTAAAGAATGGACACCACTGATGTTAAGAATATTACTACAGAATCAATAGAAACAGGGTAAACTTCTCCTGAAACAGTGTAATGAAAAGTCTCTATATTTGCAAAACTCTACATAGCAAATGTAGACTCTTCCAAGGCAGGATTCACAGATGTCCATTTTCCAACTTGATCTCTTGCAGCTCCAGTACAATATATTAACACAGTCAACTCAGAGATCTGATTCACACTAAGAATAAAATATAATTAAGGAGTTGTTTTCTTCTTGATTCTGGAAGGAAAGCTATAAGCCAGCAGCCAGTAATTGACAAAGAATAGAGACGAAAAGAAAAGATGACAGTATTTTTCTTATCTTACTTTTTATAAATATAGAATGCAGTATCAATAAAGGAGGATAGCTCAGTGATTTAAAACATCAGTGAGAATGAACGACAATATAAATTTTTACATGGCTAAAGATGTTTACTGAACAAGTTCATCTCAGTTCCTTTTAAGAACAGAAACTGGGAGAGGAGGAATCTAATTTAAGAAATCTTTAAATTCATCAACAGCAAGACCAACAGCAGAGATTTTGTATGCAAGGTCAAGGATTGATACAGTAATTAGAATTAATTTTTCAGGCTCCATATTCTCCTGCAACATCAGATCAGCAGTGAATCTTCTCTTGAGGAGCTTCTGCTATTGCTTTCCCTTTTTCCTGGAATAAGATTTTAGTATGAAAAGATAAAAAGGTGTAGCAAGTAGACACTGGCAGAGAGTCATATAAGGAGGTGGATGTTATCTCATCATTCAATATACCAATATTTACTAGATTTTCAGGAAAACAAACATTTGACTTGCAGTCTTCAATATGCTGGAAGTGAAGTCTTCAGAGAATGTAATAAATTGAAAGAAAAACTTTAATTGAAGTGGTTTTGAAAAAAATGTATTTGAAAGAATCAGAATCATCACCATCACCACCAAAGACAAAGCTACCTGTGATGTTTCTGACATGACTATCTCAGGTCATAGAGAATAATAATAGTGCTGGCACTGGAAAAGCTTTCAAGTGTATCATGTTGCAAGACTGACTCATGTGAAATATGTCCTAAATCTACTGCAACCAAACCAGTCCAAAGCATGTAAGAGAACGGGAACTTTATGTCAAGTGCAGGACAAAGTGGCCTCCTGGGCTATGCTGCAAGCCTTTCCTGGTTATCTTCTTTCAGCTATCTTTGGGCTCACCCACACAAACGTCTATGCACACAAATACACACGTATCGGGTCCCAGAGTCCCATTTTAGTTAGAGTGGAGCTAGTCATCAGGCTGGGTGCACCAGGCAGGAGGAATGTTAATTTTTCTAGTTGATTTCATCAGCCTGGGGCCCAGGGATGTGGGTAGCACAATCCCCTCTGTGCTTGCTGTTTCCATCCTCCCTGAAGCAGATGGTCTGGGGGACTGACAGAGAGACAGACCAGTCCGTTAGTGGGCAGAGAATAATGACTCATGAAGCGACAAGCAGAAAGAGGAAGGAATCACTGTACAGGCACCTATCCCAGGCAGCGCTCCAAATATAAATTATCTCATGTTTTGTTTTGCTTTTATAATGTGATATCATTAAAGGAATCAAGTAATATGTAATGTTAGAGATGTTCCACCTGAGGAATGCACAACTTTAAATATTCATCATACCTACAAGAAAAGAGATACTCAGAGATGAAAAAGTAGTTGGCTATAGTGGACAGTAGTCTATAATCAGGTTCAATGTTTAGTTAGGACCTGCTTGACAATCGAAAAGCTCTTCAGCTTCCTTGATTAATAACTACTGGGTCAAATTATTTCTAGAGCAAACCACAGTCATATTCTCAAGTCAACTGGGTCTTTCTGCAACTGCCCACTGAAGTTTTTTTAGTGCTTTTGAAGCTTTCTCCAGCTTTCTGCAGAAGTTTTACAGTAATTATTGATTACCTAGACAAAAATTGGCTTTCAAAGTCAGGGATCTGGGTTGGCAAAAGGAAGAGGAAGCTCTAGAAATGCTGGATCTTACTATTAATTTTCCCACTATGAGCTCCCTACTGCTTAGTGTGAACAGCTGAAGAAGGAAAGACTTAAAAAATGAAACAGAGGTGAGAGGAGGCCTACACCTAAAGACTGGATCAAGGAGTGACATTGAGCAGAATGTCACCATGTTGCCAGCATCATGATCCAGACTGCCTTGCTGTCTTTTCCCAGTGACTTAAAAACACAGCAAACAGCAAAGACAATACAGCAGAATGCCAGGAGCAAGAACCTTGCAGAAAAGATGATCACAGGCCCAACAAAAGCTCTGCAGAGAGGAAAAAAAACATTTGTCAGCTTTACCTGCTAGCCCTGTCTGAGGCCGTAGTTGCAGCCAAGGGTTCATGGTAAAAAGCAACAAAAGCAGCCCACAGACCTTAGGGCTACGTCAGTTATCAAGACATTAAACCTGCTCCTCTGTCATTACCAATACAAAGCAAGTCTGAAATGCATACAGTAACACCAAGTTCAAACACTATCCTACCAACAGGTTGGCTGCCAACCACTCCTGTCCAATGCTATAAGAATAAAACAAAGAAAAAGCAAATTTTTATAGAATTAATTAAAATTTATCTTAAACTACAAC